AATTTCCAATGATGAATGTCATTATATTGTATACCTAAAATGTACCAATAAACTAAATGGAAAAAAAATTAATTAAAAAAAAAAAGAAAACACCTACGGACCAATGGTACACAACAGAGAATCCAGAAACAATCAATGCATTTCTAATCTGATTTTTAACAAAAGCACTATGACAGGGTTGAGACTCCTAGATTAGGTAAGCACACTCCTGGGTGTGTCTGGTGGGTCATGAGCGTGTGACTATGGAGACTATCTTGTTCTCTGGCCCTTTGTCTTACCCCCCCCCCCCCGCCCCCAGCTTCCCAGGCATTATAAAGTGAGCAGCTTTGCTACACCATGTGGTTCTGCCATGATGTTTCCGCCGAGGAACCAATTAACCATGGGCTGAAACTTCTGAAACCATGAGCCAGATATAGTCTTTTAAATTGTGTGTGTCAAGTATTTTTACCCAGCAACAGAAAAGCTGACTAGTTAGTACAGGTGCCAAGAATAAATAGGAAGTGGGCAACCTCTTCAATAAATGGTAATGGAGAAACTGGATATCCACACATAGAAAAATGAAATTAAACCCTCCTTTCACAGCACATACAAAAATTAATTCAAAACCACTGAAGAACTTAACTGTTTTGACATGAATCTGTGAAACTAGGAGAGAAAAACATAAAGAAACTGATTCATAAACTGGCCTGGGCAATAGTTCTTTTGGGTATGACCTTGAAAGAGTAAGCAAGAAAAGCAACAATAGATATGAGATTCCATCAACCTAAAATAGAAAACAATAAAGTGAACAGGCAACATATAGAAGGTGAGGAAGTATCTGCAAACTATACATGTGGTAAATAGTATCTACATTTATAAGGAAATCAAACAACTCTAAGAGCAAGAAAGCAAACATTCCTATTTAAAAATGGGCCATGGACCTGAAAAGACATTTCTTTCTCTTTTTGGAGTACTAGGGATTAAACCTAGGGCATTATGCACAGTAAGTAAACTACCACTGGTCTACATGTCCAACCCATGACACTTAATATACATACAAATGGCTAACAGGTATATTTAAAAATGCTCAATGTCACTAATCATCAGAGAAATGTAAATCAAAATCGCTAGATATCACCTAATACCTGTCAGAACAAGTCTGCTGTGGCTGTGAAGAAAAGAGAGCCCTTGCACGATTATGGTAAATACGGAGAATCTTCAAAATGTTAAAAATAGAGCTACCATGTGACCCAACAATCTCATTACTGAGTGTATAGCCACAGGATATGAAATCACTATATTTAAGACATATCTGCACTCTCATGTTTATTACAGCAGTATTCACAATATCCAAGATGTGGAATCAACTTAAATGTCCATCTACTGATGAAAAGATGAAGAAATCGATAAATACACACAATGGAATACTGTTCAGCTATAAAAATAAGGAATGAAATTCTGTCATTTGTAACAACATCGATAAAACTGGAGAACATTATGTTAAGTGAAATAAGCAAGGAACAGATGGACAAATACTGCATGATTTCAGTTATATGCAGAATATGAAAGAATTGAGCTCATAAGTGCAATGATGGTTGTCAGAAATTTGTGTGGTTAGTGAGGTACAGGATGTGGAGTGGTGGGTAGATACTAGTCAAACAATATATAATTATAGTTAGCCAGGAAGAATACTTTTTAGAGTGTCCCAAAGTAGACAACTATGTAGAGACAGAGAAGTAAGCACCAGGGCCAATATGGTGGGAGATTATTGAGGGGAGGTGAGAAGTGAATAATAAAGGACTACTAATGGTGATGGAGTTTCTCTTTTATGTAATATTATGGTGATGGCTATATAAGTCTGTGATCACACTAAGAACTATTGGATTGTACTCTTTTAAGTGGGTAAATTGTCTATGTGAATTATATCTCAATAAAGATGTTTTTAAAAACCAGGGATACGAATCAATAAAAATGACAGAAAAATTAATGAAATGAAAATAAATAATATTTAAATTTAAATTTCTAACTGTTCTTCAGTAATATAGAAGAATACAATTAATTTTATACAGTGATCTGTTATCTTGTGATCTTGCTAAATTTACTAGTTTGCGCTTGTTTTGTTTTGTGCTTACTGCACTGGTCAGTGTATCAAGTAAAATGCTGAAGAGCAATGGGTCTGAGTGAGCACCTTGCCTTGCTCCCAATCACAAGCTTAAACATATCAAGCTTATGGAAACAGCCCAAGTGCCCATCAACTGGAGACTGCATAAAGAAGATGTGGGGATTTTTTATAAAATGGAGTACTACTCAGCCACAAAGAATGACAAATTAGTGACATTTATAGCTAAATGGATGCACATTGAGGCCATACTCTTAAGCGAAATAAATAGGACAAATGTGTAAATACTGAATAGTTTCTCTGGTGTGAGAAACTGAAAGTGCAAATGAGGATTAAAATGAATAAATGATAATGTGAAATAGGAAGAAAGGTCCAAGGGGGAAAGGGAAGTGGGAGGGGTAGGGGAAAGGAAAGAAGGGAAAGGAAAAAATATGAGAAAAGGAAAAAAATGGAAACAAAGTCTTTGTAAATAGGGAAGGGTGGAGGGGGTGAAGGGAGGGCAGGGGAAGGGGGAAAAAATAAGAACCAAGGTATATCATGTACAAGTTCCCAATGATAAATGTAAATGTATTGTATACCTAAGCTGTACCATTAAAAGAATTAAAAAAAAAATATCAAGCTCATTTTCACTGATGCTATTATTCAAATTGAGCATACAAAATTCCTGAATGAAATATAAAAATGGATGATACACCATGATGAGGTACAGTTTATCCCAAGAATGCAACTTTGAGTTAACATTTAAAAATCAATGAGTATAATTTACTACATTAATAGAGTAAAAGAGAAAAGTTAATTATCTCAGTAGATATAGGTAAAAACTTTCAAAGCAATTCATTCACAATGGTTTCCAAAAACAAAAAGTACCTAATAATAAATTTAACAAAATATGTGCCAAATTTATACAATGAAAACTATAAAATATTAATGACAAAAACTAAAGAATACTTAGAGATATAAAGTCCACGGATAGGAAGACTCAATATTGCTCATAATGCAATTCTCGCTTAATATGAACACTATAGATAAAATACAATCCCATTGAAAATCCCACCTTGCTTTTTTGTAGACAGATTCTAAAATGTATATGTAAATACAAAGGATCCAGAATCACCAAAATAGTTTTGAAAAAGACAAAGTTGGAGGACTCATAGTAGCTGATTTCAAGATCAAAACAGTGTGTGAAGGTATAAGGCAGATAACTCAATGGAACAAAATAGGGTCCCGAAAGAGACCATACATATAAGATCAACTGATTTTCAACAACAGTGCCAAAGTAACTGCATACTAACTGAACTCTCTTCTACTGCTAAGGAATATAAAATGGTACAACTACTTTGGAAGAATTTGGCATTTTCTTATAATGTTAAATACCCAAGTGCCATCTGAGCTAGCAATTTTATTCCCAGGTATTTCCTAAGAGAAACGAAAACATGACTATGAATACTGTACTTGTATACAAAATTTTAAAAGCAACTTTGTTCATATTAGCAAAAATAAAAAACATTCTAATGCTCATAGTTAAGTAAACAAAGTATGATATATTCACATGGCAGACTACTAAAGAGCAACAGAAAAGAATGAATGATGACACATGCAGCAACATAGAAGAACCTCAAAAATATGGTTCTAGGGAAATGAAGCTATATCAAAGGAGCATATTAAGATCCCATATACATGAACCTCTAAAAATGACAAATCTAATCAACCATGACAAGAAAGAAACCAGTGTTTGCTTGGTATTGATGGTCCAGAATTAAATGTACAGGACACAGTTCTAGAAGCATTACAAGATGACGTAAATGTTACATATCTTGATATAGTGAAGGTAACATGTATGTGTATAAATTTCTCCAAATTCATCAAAATGTTCACTTAAAACGGATGGACTTTACTGTCTTAAGTTACAGTTCAGTAAAGGAGACAATCACCCCCACTCCACCAAAGTATAGTGGCAACATAGTTTTCCTAATATTAACAGTGGAAAAAGGAGGAATCATAAAGACATTAATAATATAAACCTAAATAAAGCCTCTTTAATAATGTAATATTTTATTAGCAAAAATCTAAAAGTGCTTCAAAAATGAAAACAAAAATCTCCCAGCTACTGTTTTCTTTTTCATTTTGCTTGAATTGGCCAAAAGAAATAAAATGGAAACCACAATGGAGAATACCAGTATAACCTAAAGCAACACTACGAAACAGACTGTGTTCTATTAGAGATACTTACACTTAAATGTGCAGAATGACTTATCTAGCAGATCAAAGAATAAATCACCTCAGTTCACTCAGACTAAACGTATAAATGCAAGGAAATACAGAAAGGAATTCGTCCAAGCCAAGACTTTTCTCATTAACTGCTTTAGCTTTTATGAAATTGCATCCTACCTTAAAAGAGAATCACTTCGTTTATCAGCTCTAACAAGGAGGACAACTTTCCACCTGTGGAAGGCACCTGGAGCACCAGTGCGTTTCAGCTCCTCGCGCCATCTTTTAGGTGCAGATTGCATTTGAGGTGAAAAATGGGAGTCTTTTTCAATTTTATATCCCCATTCATAAGTTGTTTCATCAAGCCATCTGCCACTGTTGGCACTGTGAATTATGTAGTCCTTAGTTAGTACCCATTTTCCTAGAAAGTGAATGAAACATCCGTCACAGAAGAATTTTGGTTCCAATAATGATAAGAACAAATATCAAATAAAAGTAGAGCTTTTTCAACACGAGACTCTTACAGTACAATGTTAAAATCACCTTTGAAGTACATTCATTTTTCTCAATTTTTGAGAGGCCTATAATATCAATGAATATTGTACGTAACCTTTCCTATGACAAAGAATTAAAATTCTAAATGTTACTAAATGAAACAAATCTAAACCCTTAAAATGCAAAATAAAAGGTATTCCTTGAATTATTATGACTAACAAATTCACTTTTTTGGGTTAGATTGATATTCTTCCTCCTATACTAAAAACTTTTCCCATAATATGCACAGCATTTGCTACACTTTGTCAAATTTACTGAGGCCAGGGAATTTCTCAGGGTATAGACAATATTCTGTAGTTTCTTTATCTGAGGGTCAATACTCATTTAAACACCAGGAACAGGGTACACTTTCATTTGTGGAGTTAATAACTTACTAGTTGCTCCTTTAAAAAAAAAAACTTAAAAAAAATGTTTTTGGTAATCAGCAGACTGATAATATGGCAAGTTCGTGATAGCACAGAAAGGCACAGGAGTAATAATGGTGACAAAGTGAGAAAAGAAAAGACTGAGTCCTAATTTGTGCTTAGAGAATTTTGTATCTCTGAATAGAGCAAAAAATACATCAAATACTTTCAGAAAAAAACACATTTATATTGAGACCAAGATACTTTTTCTTTAACATGGAAGTATTTTTTTCAAGGGTTGGAGAAAGGCTATTCACTTACCTGCTGCACAAGCTGCTAAAAATTTTTCACTTTTACATAGGCGTTCTGCTATAAGATGTGTACAATTTTTGTATTTCTAGAAGAAAAAATTCACACAAAACTGTCACAAAAAATTTCTTTCATAACACATCTTTTTATTCTTAAAATATCAAGAGAATTTTTCAACTATACCTTGAACACTTTGATAAGTTTCTGTACTTACCTCACTCTTAATAAAAGTGCAATCTAGCTTTAGAAGCAATTTGCCTAGAGCTTCCTTTTCTTCCATCTTAAATCCTGTCATCTGGATGACATGCTTTGGGGCATTATCTTCCATCTAACATACACAGAGAAAAGAATATGTACATATTTTTCACACAGTTGACTTGTATTTCTTAACTACGAGTGCTAAAATAAAAACTAAAACTACTGATCATATATTGAATTACATATGTAAGGCTTAACTGTAAATACCAATGCAAAATTTACTTACATATAATACAAACTAGCTTTCTTAATTATATTGGTACATTTAAGGTATACAATATAATGACATTCATCATTGGAAATTTGCACCTTTACATAATCCATCTTGGTTCTTATTTTTTCCCCTTCCCCTGCCCTCCCTTCAACCATTCTATCCCTCCCTATCCACAAAGACTTTGTTTCCATTTTTTTTTCTCAGATTAATTCTATTCCCTTCTTCCTTTTCCCCTACTCCTCCCATTTCCCCTTCTCTTTTGCACTTTTCTTCCTATTTCATATTTTCTATTATATCTTTTAGTCCTTATTTACACTTTCAGTTTCTCACATAGAGAAACTATTCAGTATTTACACATGTGTGTCCTATTTATGTCACTTAAGAGTATGG